TGTGTGTGTGTGTGTGTGTGTGTGTGTGTGAGAGAGAGAGAGAGAGAGAGAGAGAGAGAGAGAGAGAGAGAAAGAAACAATTCTTGGTGTTTGGGGTGTACTGAGGTGTCCGTAAAGGTTTCAGATGGTTTTTTGTGAGATCCTGCGTATTTGAGTTGGTTGTGTGTGTTTTTGTGAAGATGGATGGGAGTAAAAAAAAAAATAGGAACACATGATGAATCTGTGGGAGTTTAGGGCTCTCCCGGAGGTGCTAACGAGACCGGGCTGAATGACAGACGGCGGCGGTGCTGGGAGTGGCGGCTGGCCAGTGAGACTGCTTGAAACCGGGATGGGTAGGTGCTGGGGGTGTCATAGGGCCGTAGGCTGCTGAGAGGGTAAGCCTAACAGTTGGCCCTTGCATATGCCCAGAGTCTGTCGGTCTCCTTCCCCTGACCCGCTGAACTCCCCCCAAACCAAAAATCAAGCCTGATACAACCTGACAAGTCTCAAGTAGCATGATTGTATCAATATATATTTTGTTTGTATGTATGTGATGTTGTTTTGTGTATCTTTTAATGGCAAACAAGATTAATATTAAACACCTACTTCAAATGAGCAGCCATGAAATATTAACCAGTTGAAGAAACAAGAAACCTTTTATCTAAGGTTTGCTTTCTTCTTTGCACACAAATTCACCTCCGGCAAAACACTGCTGCTGTCCCACCGAGCCAATTGTCTTGCTTCTGCTACATCAGCACGTTTCAGAATTGAGTAATAAATAAGGAAACAAACAGAGATTAATTTTATAGTCTCAACCCATTTTGTTTTGAACCACGAACCATGCATGCAAAGCAAAACCAAAAAAAGTGGAAACTGTAATTTCTGACTGTCAGATGCTTTCAGGATTTTATCTGAATCTCTGCTCTGGTTTTTGTGAATGTTTCTGTTTAATGAGGTTTGATTTGTTTGTGGCTCCAGCCCCAAAGCACCGAGGCTGCCTTTATTGGGTGGGATTGTGGGGGCAGTTACAGATTTTATTCCTCAGTTTAAATCATTCATCCCCCCCCCCCATCTTAGAGCTTTTAGGTAGTGTCGTCAGTGTATGTATCCTTAGCTATCCAAATAACTGTGAACTGATGTCTTATAATGATGACTGTAGTCCTATGCTGAGTTCAGCTGAGTTCCATTATTCACATCCCTCAATGAGATGGTCTTCTTTTGCTGATAGCACCTATGTTCATAGAGATGGCCTGTCTGCCACCCGCACTGAGATCAGCACCTTCTGCTGAAGGTTTTCTTATCATTGTACCCAGAGTTAAATAAATAAATAAACAAACACACAAATAAATAAATAACAGTTCTAAAAAAGTCCATAATGCAAAGCAGGATGGTGAACAGATTACGAGGGACAGCAGGGTGGAATTTTTTATTTTATTTTGGGACAGGACTGGAGATGGCCTTAACAAAATGGTGAAAAACATGAAACAGCTGTTTTGCTGTTGGCACAGGGAAGGAAACAAGAAAACAAAATGGGCGTTGGCTTGATAATTGGCCATAAGGGTCTGGGCTACGAGAAGCAACAGAATCTGTTTGTAACAGTCGGTCCTTCTGATCTGACCCTGCACCACCCTGGAATATCCAGTTCCCAGTCTGTTTTACACATATTCCTCATAATTAAATGTCACAAATTATCCTCCTGATTTTGGACTGGGCTGCAGTTTGTGCTTCTTGCAATATTTCTAAGCTTTAGGCCTATAATACACTAGCCACATGGCGTGTGCGGCTGCAGCGCGGAACCGCGCGTTTGTCCACACTGCCCGCGGCGCTGATACCAAAAACCCTACCTTTCTACACTTAATTTACCTTTGATAATGGCCGTGAAAAACAATGTTTCATTATAAATTTTATTTATATTTAGTTTAGACAAAGGTTAAGAAGCGTATGCTGAATAATAATAATAGTAAAAATAAAATTAAAATTATACAGCAATCCTTCATTACTCAGCCTGGCTCAATTTAAAAGCTATTTCCATGGTGGGTTTCGGGTTTCTTTTGCACAGATTTCCTGCGGTTAACATGGGCGCCGCAGCCACACTGCACAAGCCACGCATCCACTGTCTCCAGGCCTTTTTTTAACACACATCCGCGCATTTTCTAAAGTACCCGGAGGCGCAAAAATTCTCGTGTTAATGCGCGACGCACTTAAGCCTTTTAAAGTCAGCGTGCCTGTTTCATTCTAACCAGATCTCAGCGAAGGTACTGTATTGTCGTTCGGTTTGTCTGCAGTGTTCTCTCAAAGGGAGCGGGCAGATACACCACCAGAGCCGCTGCACCCTTCACAGCCCTCGGCGCGCCTAATGTGATATGATAACGGTGCTACTTTTAGGATTTCCTTTAATCTTTATCTAATATTTTCATAAGCTATATTTGACTCTGGCGTGGGAGGGGGCGTGGTTCTGTGTGAGACTTCTTTTTTTATTTAAATCAAATCTAGTTATATGTGTATCTTAGGAAGAGCAGCTGCAGGGGCAGGTTAACCAATGGTTAGATATGTAATTTCACTCAGCTTTTATTGTAGTTCGCTTCCTGCTTATCTCGCGGACGGTCACGGGGGCATCCGCGTTATTAAAAAGGCGCGTCCGGCCGCGTCTGCCTGATTTGCGTTTCCCGTATCTGATCATATGTGCGGAGTCTCCTCAGCAGGTGAAGTACTCAGTTCCCGCGCTTGTATTTTGTATGCATGCCCCAACCTGCCGTGTAAGTAAAATAAAAACGGACGAAATGTACTGTTTACCCGCAAACACACACGATTGCTTTAATATTCTTTAAAGCTACAAGCCTTTAAATCAGGAACTCTAACATTTAGGTCAGGTCAAGAAAAAAAACTACTGAAGAGATCAGATTTGTTTGAAGCGAGCCCCGACCCTATTCCCCAGCATTGGTCTCTCTTTTCCGAAGAGTACGTATTAACGATATCACAGCGAGGGCAGTCATACAGCAAATCTAATCAAAGATAGAAGTGCTTTTAAATGCCTACCGTCCCCTGGAGCAGAACATCGCCTCTGCTTTCCTTTGCCTCCATTCTCAGCACCCGAGATCCGTGCGTGTGAGATGCAATTAATATTGAACAGACACGCCGGTTCGTCTGCTCCTGTAATAACACAGTTAGAGCAAAGGTTAATGCTTCGAATCTAATCTCTGTCCCCATTCATTTAAATGAAGTTTGGGATGAGAGAGAGACCCCGTAATCAACGGTTGGTGGAGTGGAAGCGAAATTAATTACTGGTCTCCATAAATTCTATGTCATGTCTCATTTTATCTAATCCGCATCCCCTTCGTTGTTCAAGCTGGGGCAAGATGCTCAGGAGATCTAATGAAAAGGCATTTTTGGCGCTAATTGCAAATTAGATTTGTGTCATTTTGCGTGGCCACTGGTGCGAGATCCCAGGAAACTTTCCCTGATGATCCGTCTGGGCTTGCATGTTTTCACAGCCAGAAATCTGACGGTGACAGAAATTGGGATTCTCCTGTCCATCCATTCATACAACCATTTATCCTGGTCAGGATCATAGGGGAGTCTGGAGTCTATCCCGGGAATCTCAGGGCACAAGGCAGGGGACACCCTGGATGGGATGCCAGTTGTTTGAAATGTCTTTAAATAAACATTTAAATAAATATTAATGATTAAATCAATACATTTGGTGCTAAATATCTAGGAAATCACAACTGAAACATTGTATTAAATATTATAATGTTTAATCTTTATAAGTAACATAACTGTCCAAAACAGGGATAAAATGAGCCTGGAGCCCATCCAAGTCAACATAGGGCCCAAGTCAGGGGACACCCTGGATGGGATGCCAGTTCATCACAGGACACACATGGCCAATTTTGACTCATTCACCTACCTATAGGAGGAGGCCCACCAAAATACAGACAGAATATGCAAACTCCACACACATATGTTGGAATTCAAACCCCCAGTCCTGGAGGTGTGGTGATTCAGTAATAAACATTAAACCATTGGGCTGGTGTTAACGGAAAGTTATAGTTACAATAAACCAATTATCAAGTGACTGGGTTCAGAGGGGAAGAGGGATTGTGGGGAGATGTAAGATGGAGATGTGGCTTATTCACTTTACAGGGTAACATGTCTTTAAAAGCTGGAAAAAGATGCAAAAGTCTATCTTGGTGTGTGTTTATATTTTGGGACTTTCCTCTGACCAGGCCAGGGATTTTAGGGCAATGGGAAGCATTTGGAAAGCCAGGAGGCTTTCATTTTTAATTTTTTTTCATGACTGCTCGGTAACTTACTGGGAGAATCTGTGGGGCAGGATCAGCTCAGGGGGTGTCTCCTGGATTCCCTCCATCGTTATATCCGTCTATTGAAAGAACAGTTCAAGCTTCCTGAGATTTTCCAACTTTTTTTTTCCCCGTACGAGGGCCAGTGTGTTATTGGACAGGCTTCCGTGTGGCTTTCAGGTCTGAAGACCATTGAAAGGTACAACAGCAGAGCCCCTCCTGGACATTCAGCTAATGTCAGGCTAACTGTCTTCCTACATTGCTACGTTTTGTATGACTGCACTTTTTGTGCTTGTCATGTGATACAGCTGTGGTGCATGCTGGGACTGTAACATGGGACTGAGCTGTGTGTGCTCCTTCGCGCAGGCATACTTCCGACAGGGTGTCGCCCTTCAGTACCTGGGTCGTCATGCCGACGCCCTGGCTGCCTTCGCCTCCGGCCTGGCCCAGGACCCCAAGAGCCTGCAGCTGCTGGTGGGCATGGTGGAGGCCGCCATGAAGTCTCCGCTACGAGGTAAGCGGCCGCCCAGCTGTAATTTGTCTGGGATGGTAAATTTTCGGTGACGGTTTTCTTCACCCAATGCTAGCGTCAAGGAGAAGTGCCCGACATTCACAAGCTGCTTGAAGATCATTGACTGTTCAAACAGACCCTTAAGCGCCAGGGCACTGTGCCATGTAAATGATGGGACTGTTGACTTTCACAGTCGCTCTGTAATTGTAGTAACTGTATACCTCTCACCATCACCCCTCCTTTTGTCGTTTGTTCTCTTTCCCTCTGATTGTTTGTGTGTGTTTGAGTGTCTCCATCGAGCTCTTAGTCTCCCATTTTCCCCACTGACTCGTTCTTCATTAAGCAATGGGGCACTGTGGGTTGACCCAACTCTCCCCACCCTTCTGACAATGCTTAGTTTAATTCTGTGGTGTGTATCACGAGAAAACCTTTACTGATACCAAACCTACTAAGTGCCATGGTATCTTCCTCCGGATAATTGTGGTCTTTGAGTGGGATCCCCTGTTTGCTTAAATGATTGTCAAAGTGGTGGATTTGAGGAGCCGATGTGTTTGCGTAGATAGCTGGCTTTCAGAGAGGGTGGGGGTGCATATTTTTGTGTCAGAGTCGGCATGAAAAGGAGGACGGGGATGGAAATCTCTCTCCGTGGCATTAAACGGGCTATTGTGGCTGAGACGCGTTTACCGGGAACCTTGCCAACCCACAGCTCAAGATCCCAGGACGGGTTTCCACAACAAAGCTCATTTTATCTCTTAATTGTTGACCTTGTTCCAGACAGCGACCCCCCCCCCCCCCATCTACTTACTGTACAAAAGGAAAATAGGCACAGTATGCCGGGTGGATTGAGGACAGCGATTCCCTCTCTGGGTCAGTCTTAGCCAACGCAGCCGACACTCAGTTGATAAGAATATGCATGGAGGCCGAGCCAGACAGGCTCTCTCCCCCTCTCTCTGTTCTCTGCTCAGCCCTAGTGCTGTCTTGTCTCCATTTCCTGGCCAGAATTTTATTGTTTTTACTTTGAAAGATGAATCGGGGCTAGTGTATCTCCTTCCTGGTTTGAGCATCCCTGTCTGTACCTTATGGGCGTGGTGGTTTCTTTGGCTCAGTTTATTCAGGTGGTCTCTCCTGGACCAGCAGCAGTCAGGTCTTCTGGCCCACAAAGATGCCCACTAGCACTGGACCCGCTATATCATCCGGCTGTCTTAAGAACTGAAACACTGCCGGAATAAGGTCTTTGAAGTCAGGAGTGATGGACAGCGTGTGAGTCTCTTCGCCATGGGACAGGGATCGCACAAAATGGCCGCCTCACTCGCTTTGGGTGGCCCACTGTGCCCTTAGGCTAATGGTTCTTCCTGCCGCTCCATAAGTGCGCCATGCCTTTGCTCTCTTGCTCTCTCTGTTTTTATAAGGGCTGTCAAGGCGACAAGAGCCATCTTCAAAAAGATTACATTTCGTTTAAGAGTACATCCTTGGATTGCGATTGCTCTGTGTTTGCATGGTTCAAACGTCACTCTTTTGCGCTGGTTCACAGGAATATCAGTGCCTGAAATGAGCAGAAGTGGCGTGTAGAGTGTGCTGTGTTGTCAGGAGCCTCCCGCTAAGTGCTGAGCTTCTCCTCCGCGTCTCTGCTGATGACAGCTGTAAAATGGGAAGGTTCTGAACTAGCCCTGGAAAGCGAGACTCGCCCTAATTTGTCTGACAGTTATCCAGAGTTTCCTACATGGGTTTTTCTGGTGGGGTGGGGGGTGGGTTGTTATGTTGAATTCAGAAACATTCTGTTTGACCACAAAGGTCTTTGAGTGTGTCTGGCGCATGGGGTTGGCCACCGCTTGCTGCCCTGCTGCGTACGTTCACTTCAGGTCTTTGATGTGAAGTTCTGACCTTTCTTTAGGTTTTGTTTTATGGTTTCATGTGGTTTCTTTGTGGTTTTCTACTGCTGTTTCCATATCACTGGGAAAATGACCCCTGCCTATTTTATGAATGAGAAAGATAGATTTCCACTGTTTGCCTGTTGAATTTGAATGTTATCAGTTTTATCCTTGTTTTAACAGTTTGGATCATGAAGCTATCAGAAGAAAAATACAGCAACACCCTAACTTAATAATCAAGCAAATCCTACAAATGAATGATGTATCTCTTGATGGTACATCCTTCCTGAAATACAGTATTGAATCCATTGTCTAAAGTCTGGATGCAATCCATCCATTTTCTGTAAATTTGTAAGTAGTGCAGGGTCTCGGCGAGTCTGGAACCGGACACGGGGCATGAGATGCGAGGCCTTCTGCAGCATGCCAGTCTATCATTGTGATCAGTATGGTTGCACATTACAGTCACTGTGGTCACATACTATAGCCACCATGGTCATACACTACAATGTAGTTTCACCAGTCCCCCTCACTGCCTACGTTTGGATTGTGGGAGGGAAGGCTGCACTGAATGTGAAGTATACCTGAGCAAATGTGGGCGTTCACACTCACAGAGCCACAGGCAGCATGTAGACCCCAGTGTGAGGTGTGAGGCCACAGTACCTCCCTGCTAGCTAATAGAGCACCACACAGGGGTCCATTTACTCTTTCTGGGACCCCCACTCAAAAACTTCACTTATAGTACAGTTTGACAATTGGAGGACAGCGAGCTGCTCTGAAATGGCGGATTGAGATTCCTGTGTCACTGTCCCTAAGATTGGTTCCTGGTCCCTTCAATTCCTGCTGGTACCCTTGTGTACATTGACAGACCTGATCAAAATGCAGATCTACACTTATAGAGTAATGTATATATTTTTGTACCTTGATTTGTGATCACATTTTACACGTCATCCTGAGTCATACGTCACTCCTGCCAGATATTCCAAGTTCCTCGAAGGGCTTGTGAATGAGAAAGGGCTGTTTGTACAGGATGGCTGATTTCTGACATCTGTGTGCCTTTGGCTTTAATGGGCCAGAAATGCCCCATGCTGAAATCACATAATTTGCAGTGATACTGCAGAAGTCTCTGGGGACTGACAGAGCAGTTCTTAGAGAAGCTAAGATTAGCAGACGTGCATGTTTTGCTTTGGATGAAGGCATCACATAAGCATCTTGTCGCCTGACTCTGTGGACCAGGCGCTCTGCTTCAGATTCTGCCGCACGGCCCCTCACCTCAAACCCTGCTGGAGATGTCACCTCTGCCCCGTCCACTCCAGCCCCCCCCCCCATAGTCCGGCATTGATTTATGTGTGTGCCTCTGGTTTCGGTCCTCCCAGGGGTCCGTTCCCCTTCCCAGAGGTCACCTTGCCTGCCTCAGCCTTCCCATTTTCCCCATGTTTCCTGGGAGCGGCTTGGAGTGGGTGGCGGGGCGTCCATAACAAAGCCAGGCTTCGGATCACACAATCACCTGTGACAGTCTGATGGCCTCTGTTTTGATCGTCTCCAAGTACAGATTGCGTGCGCTCACATGCTATCTTCTCTACCAGCCCCCCTCACTGAGATGACAGCTCTGATTTATTCTGGTGAACCCAGAGAGCTAGAAAACCGTGATTCTGGTGGCTCATCGGGAAACGTTTATATGAGCCGCTGTTTGGCCATCATCACTGAGGGGATTTTGCCGTGGCCCTCAGGGTTGTGGGTTTGATATGTGTGTGTGTGTGTGTGGGGGGGGGAATTAGCGTGTCCTCCCCATGTTCTCGCACCGACGGCCATTATGTGATCCTTTGAGATGTCCTGCTCTGCACATTTGCACAAACCGCCAATTTCTCTTGTCATGTTCTCCATGAATCTTCCGAACTTTCTCATGTCCTCCCATGAATCTCCTTTCATCCTCTGCCATCTCTCCTTCCCCCACGCCTTTGATCACCCTAATGAGTCCGCCATGCCGCTTTCAGTGCTGCGTCCGTGGCCCTGTGCTGGATTTCACCATCGTTCCCGTGACAGGCTTTACCGTCTTCTTTATGATGCTCTTTCACCGCGAGTGCTGCGCTCTAGGCAGCTGTCAGACGGCCACTAAAAGGATCGGTCTGAAGTATAGGCTGCCACGTTGAATGGCCTCATTTTGGAGCCTTTTCTCCAGACTAAAACACAGCTGTGTGAGTAATGGCTGTTATTGCGGCCATAGGCGTACCTGTAGCTCTCTTTGTTTGTCCACCCGTAATCCCATGTCTGCGTGAGCAGCATGCCTCTATCTGACCGCTCTGATGCCTTGCTTCTTGACCAGCTTGGAGAATGCTAGCTTCCTCTCTACCTCAAATCAAGCACCATTGCCTGGTGCCTCAGGTGGCAGATGCTAATTAAAATGTACCCTGTACCACCTGGTAGCAAGCAGCCACTTGTTTCTGTTTTTCTTCATTGCTGAATCCCGTCTCCTCCTCCTCCCGCAGAGTCCTTGGAGCCCACCTACCAGCAGCTACAGAAGATGAAGCTGGACAAGAGCCCCTTTGTGGTGGTTTCGGTCATTGGCCAGGAGCTGCTGACAGCCAGCCACCAGGGGGCGTCGGTGGTGGTGCTGGAGGCGGCGCTGAAGATTGGCACCTGCAGCTTAAAGCTGCGCGGCTCTGTCTTCTCTGCACTGAGCTCTGCTTACTGGTCGCTCGGCAACACAGAGAAGAGCATCAGCTATATGCAGCAGGATTTGGAGGTGGCCAAAACTCTAGGTGAGCAGGAGCTGGACACCTGTGAATAGCTCTGCTCAGATCCTCGTTAGGCCAGGAAGAAGCACCAGTGGGGTTTTGGTTCAAACCTGAAAAGCTGAATGAATGAATTGCAAATAATTTGTCTGTGAAAGTGATGTGTTTAGTTAGGAAATTTCCTGGACTAAATGTCTGAGGAATAGATCAGGAGGAAAGCTTGGAGACTTGGATGGACTGGGCAACAACATGAGTGTGTTTTGTGCTAAAAACCTTGTGAGATTTGGACTGTTTGAGCATGACGAAGTGTGACAATATGTGGCTCTTCCAAACGTCTCTATGGGAACATTACTGTGTGCTGTGTGAGCCCCCTCCTCTCCAGGGCTCGCACCTTCTCCAGGGCTTACATCGTGGTTAGATGGTCATCGGTCTCAGGTCGACCAGTCCCGGAGGCCGTGACGGAAGGATGTGGAACGTCCAGTGTCCTTTGTCCCTGAGCGGATGAGGTGGTGTCTCGCATGACTTATGTGGAAATGAACAGGAAGAGTCCCTATCACCCATGTGTGGACTGTAGCAGCGTTGGACGCTATACCGGTTCATACCGAAAACCATTTTTTATTATTGTTATGATATGAATACCGGTTTAAATAGGCTACACAACGTTCGTAAAGTGCCGCAGCTAGAAATTATTATTGGGGGGGACCTTTTTCCACTGCTGCACCACTAAAAATGTACCACGAAAGATCAGAAGCGGAAGATATAGCTGACACTGGAGCTGAAAATAATGAGACACTGGGGTTGTCAAAAAAATCGATTCTCAGATACTAATCGATATTAAATACCATTATTGATACCAACGGTGCGGTTTTAGTCTCATTCGCCAAACTTCACACAGCACCACTACAATGTAGGCGCGTGTGCACACGCACGCACACACTCGTCCAGCCCCTCCCTGTGGGAATAATGCTAAAATGTGTCCTGTAAAATGTGGTAAACGCCCAGTGGTGCTTAAAAAATAATACCATCATATACTGTGAAACCGATATAACTTTGAGAAATACCGTGATTAATTTTTGGTCATACCGCCCAGCTGTAGACTGTAGCATACCGAACATGCCCTGTCACATCTCCCAGCTCTGGACTGTAGCATACCGAACATGCCCTGTCACATCTCCCAGCTCTGGACTGTAGCATACCGAACATGCCCTGTCACATCTCCCAGCTCTGGACTGTAGCATACCGAACATCCCCTGTCACATCTCCTGTATCTTGATAGACCCTGTTGTCCTGGTCCCAGAGCTACTTCACCCCCCTGTTGTCCTGACATGTACCCATTAGCCACTGATTAATGTGTTTTCAAGGTGGCGGAGGGGGGTTCTCAGCTGACGGCCCAGGGAATCCCAGTCTGTACTACGAACTGGGAGGCAGGGACCTGGGGGTCTCTGGCAGGGATCGCCGTAGCTGACTGTAAGGATGTATTTGGCTTCCTGTTCCAGTGTGGGAATCTGTGCTGAGGTCACAGTGTGCGACAGGTTCCAGCCATTTAGGGAGACCGACAGCGCAGGACGGCAGCTCTGACAGCAGCGCAGGATAGCGGCTCCTATGGGTTTGTGGGTGGCACAGGACCGCGGGTTTGTGGGTGGCACAGGACTGCGGGTTTGTGGGTGGCACAGGACCGCGGGTTTGTGGGTGGCACAGGACCGCGGGTTTGTGGGTGGCACAGGACCGCGGGTTTGTGGGTGGCACAGGACCGCGGGTCTGACGGCAGCCTGCAGCATGTGAAGTCACAGTCAGGGCTGCAGCATGCTCTTCACAATCTGCGGGACACAGGCAATTAGCACCCCACATGACCGTGCAAACGTGTGTGTGTGTGTGTGTGTGTGTGTGTGTGTGTGTGTGTGTGAGAAGCACCGTGAGGGGGAGAAGTGACAATGTGTGAGTGTGAAGTAAGGCATGTGTGTGCAGCAGGCTGTTTTACACTGCAGTGTTTTTGCATTTGTACTTGGCTGAGTGCAACTGTGCATGTGTGTGTGTGTGTCTGTGTGCTATATGTTGGTGTGTGTGATTTAACCGTATTAGATCGTGTATCATGCTACTGTGCACTGTTGATATCAGTTGCAGTTCTACAGCTGATACATGCATCTCAGGTTGTTTTGTGAGCATAATCTATTTCAACACACCAATAAACCAGTAACTGCAAACAGTACCTTGGATTTCTTTCTCTCTCTCCCTTTCGCACCCTCATTCCATCATCCAACGTGCAACATGCAACACATTTCCCTATTTGGCAATGTTGCGGCATTGACGACATGGAAGAGTTGGTCCCTAAAAAGAATTTGATGTCTGTATAATAGAACTTGTTTGGATTTTACAAAACTGACACTGCGCAAACAATAATTATTTGCAAAACTTGCTAAGGTAACACGATGAACCTTTTTAACCACCTCAAAAGAAGACACCCAAAAGAATATGCTGCTGTTTCTTTTTAATAAGGCAATTACTTTGCTTGTACTGTTCAGAAACTTGCTAAATTGTTTTACAAACCAACCTGAAAAAGAATCATGATAAAATTGTGGATTGTAATCCTGCTTTAAAAAAAATCATGATGAATTTTTCTGATATTCTCCACCCCTAGATGTGTGAGTGTGAGTGTGTGTGTGTGTGTGTGAGTGTGTGTGAGAGTGAGTGAGTGAGTGTGTGCGTTGGGGTGGTTAGCAGTGCAGGCCGCAAACTGTCCCTTACCAGTCACAGTCATTGCTGCCTGTGTTATCCCTTCCCTCATGGGGGCTGATGGGGGGTGTGGAGCTTGGACACTATGGGCTGTCAGAGAGAAATAACAGGGCTCCCCACTAGCCACCTACTGGGAACCAGCCAGAACTGGCATGAGAGGCTGTCAGGTACCTTGGCGTGCTGGAGATCCCTGCCGAGCGTGCAGATCTGACTGTAGCACCGCAGCTGCGAGAGCGGGATCCTCATTAGGAGCGTTAACGATGTAAGAGAACACGGAACATGTGATGATGCAGAACCATACAGCCCGGAACAGCTGCAGTGGAGCGTGACTGCAGTATAGTGCATAGGACTAGTTTACAAACCACACTTCTGTACCACAGTGCGGCGTAGAGCCGTCTGACGTGACAGGGACTAGCTGAGACACTCTCGGTGATATTGTCATGCATTTAAGGCCTGGCTGCTGTTTCCGTGGCGTCTCTCCTCTCTGTAACTCTGCCATCTTTGCTGTCATGGACAGGTGACCAAACGGGCGAGTGCCGCGCCCATGGCAACCTGGGCTCGGCCTTCTTCTCCAAGGGGAACTACCGCGAGGCCCTGACCAATCACCGCAACCAGCTGCTGCTGGCCATGAAGCTGAAGGAGCGCGAGGTAGGTGGCTTGTACGCGCTTGTCTGGGACTGCTGAGGTCTGTGAAGCGTATCAGCACGTGAAGGCTGTCACCAGGGGTCTCATGATGCAGTGAGACACCATTTGGTGGTAAAACACGAGGCTGTTGAAACAGACAACTTTATTCCACTGCTATTATTATTTAGGTGAAGTTACAAAAAAACAGCATGACATGTCAGCTGTAAATATTTATGTGTGGCCAGTCTGACTTGTTTGTCCATGTTTGGCCTTGTTTGGGTTGTTTATTTGCGAAGCACGGGTGTCACACGTTCCCCCCCCCCCCCCAAAGTGAGTTCCTGTGAAACATGGATGTTACTCTGGGAATTGAGGAAGGGGGTAGAGTACAAAGAAGTAGGTTTTATTATTAGAAGTGCATCATGGGAACTTTGTTGTTTTCCCTGCTGATGCAATAATGACTTGGCTGCACATGTCACTCATGCAAATGCATGCAAATATATAAAATTACCTTTAATTAAAGGAAGGACAAGAAATCTGAGAGCGTGAAGCTGATAGGAGAAGAAGATAGAGATTATTATTATTATGCTTATTATTGTCTACAGTTATGTGTGATGGATGGATGGATGGATTTTATTTTGTCTTGTGTTTCTCATTAATTCCCTTATCAAGGTGACTCTCAGATAGCTTCTGCCTGAGTATGAAGCTCTGTGTACCGTATGGCGTGTCTGGTAGCCTGGACCCCTGACTTGCTACATTAGGCATCAGAGCAGCTGCAGTTGAAACAATGTGTCAACTCAGCTCATGTTACGAGCGCTCATGTATGGTTTCTGGAAAAGCTATTTCACCCTGGAGATAATACAGAGGGGGAAAGAGAGAGAGAGAGGAAGGAGGGAATGAGAGAGGGAGAGTGATAGAGAGAGAGAGCTAGAGAGGGAGAGAGTGAGTGAAGGGGGGCAGAGGGAGCAAGTGAGTAAGAGGGGGAGAGAAAAAGAGAGTGAATGAAGGAGAGAGGGGGGGATAGTGAGAGGGAGTGAGTGAGGAAGAAGGAGGGAGAGAAAAGGAGATGGGGACAAAGAATGAGCGAAGGAGAGAGAGAAAGAGACGGGGGAGAGAGGGAGACCATGAGAGTAAGAAAGGGAGAGACATGCGGTTCCCTTCACTTCCTGCGCTCCATGAGAGTAAGAAAGGGAGAGACATGCGGTTCCCTTCACTTCCTGCGCTCCATGAGAGTAAGAAAGGGAGAGACATGCGGTTCCCTTCACTTCCTGCGTTCCATGAGAGTAAGAAAGGGAGAGACATG